GCCAGCCAGCACTGTGTAATGGTGGAGCTATAAATCGCGGCCATCTTAGAATTCTCCATTAGCCTCCGGTCATTCAAGAGAGACAGACCTGTCTGTATTAGGGACAGAGTTAGGGGCCACAGAGACTTTAGGGCCACAGAATCGTTACTCAGGGACACAGAATCGTTACTCAGGGACACAGAATCGTTACTCAGGGACACAGAATTGTTACTCAGGGACACAGAATTCTTACTCAGGGACACAGAATTGTTACTCAGGGACAGACACAGAGAATCGTTACTCAGGGACACAGAATTGTTACTCAGGGACACAGAATCGTTACTCAGGGACACAGAATCGTTACTCAGGGACACAGAATCGTTACTCAGGGACACAGAATCGTTACTCAGGGGACACAGAATCGTTACTCAGGGACACAGAACCGTTACTCAGGGGACATTGTTAGAATCGTTACTCAGGGACACAGAATCGTTACTCAGGGACACAGAATTGTTACTCAGGGACACAGTGTTACTCAGGGACACAGAATCGTTACTTTCTGCTTCACAACCACTATTGTACGTTCAAAGAGTTAAATCCTGTTTTATGTTTGGGGTGCTTATTGAATTAAAGAGTATGTCAGACAACATGCAGAGGAGTGGCAGAGGAGGCAATGTTTCAGGAGCGAGCAGACGTGGCAGCAGAGGAAGGGGTCGAGGCAGCACTAGTCGCAGCCAGAGGCCAGTGCTCCCGGTGTCATCCAGCGGTCGTGTCTCCACCGACAACCCTGCCGTCATCGATTGGTTGACTCGGTCGTCTTCCTCTTCCCAGGTCACCTCTGACACCTACAGCCAACGGTCGGTGGGTACGTCAGACACAACCGTTAGTTGGCATGGCCCGGGAGCAAGCCCACTGAAATCACGTGTCCTCTACCTGCCCCTGTCCTTTGGTGTTCCCTCACCAAGCGAAGTATCGCATGCTGTGGGCTCAGCCCCACTGTACAGTGAGGAAGAGCTAACAGAGGGCGGTCAGGAACGGGGGGAGACATCCGCCTCTTCAGCAGCCAGGCGAAGAAGTACTGGCGAGGAGAGTGGCTCGGTAGCCGGTCTAGAGACAGGTCTGTCTCCTGACCCACACGCAGCCGAGGGGGCTAGTAGTGACGCGGAGACCCTAATTGATGATGATGAGGCTGATCGCACTTGGCAGCCTCGTCGTCATCAGGCTATTGCTTCCGCATCATCAGGAGAAGAGGGTGCCAGCTTGCAGCGAGCAAAACAGTCGGTGGGTTGCCCAGGAGGCAGCAGGGTCGCAGCAGTGTCAGTGGAGGCAAACGGCCACGGAGTAGAGCACCAGCTCCACTGCAGCCTACCACCACGGCCAGTAGTGGTGCCGGTGTGCACGGAGGAAGTAGCAGTCAGCCAGTGAGGAGTAGCGGGGGCAAAGTTTCCTACTCGGCGGTGTGGCAATTTTTCGTCAAGCCGCCCGAGGAAGTAAACGTAGCCGTATGTGACTATGTGGCCAGAAAGTCAAGCGTGGCCAGGGGGCCCATGTTGGGACTACAGCGTTGCGTCAGCATATGCAGCGTCGCCATTCGGTGGCCTGGGAAAACCGTGATAAAGATACGGCGGTTCTGCCTGCCCCAGCCCCCGCTCCATCACCCGCTCCGTTACTTGCTCCGTCACCCGACGTCAATCGCCCTCTATCAGCCAGTCAAGGCTCCAACACCTCTGCTGAGGGGAGTTGTCGCTCGTTGGCATCTTCCGCTCGTTCAGATGCTCCTTCTCCTGCTACTCCTCTTCACGGATTCCGTCAGCAGTCTTTCTTGGAATCCGTTTCCAAGAGACAACAGTTTGCGAGCACGCACCCGACGGTGCAGAAGCTGAACGTCCTCCTGTCCAAGTTGCTGGTGCTGCAGTCCCTCCCTTTCCAAGTGGTGGACTCAGCACCTTTCCGAGAAATGATGGCTTGTGCCGAGCCGCGGTGGAGAGTGCCAAGCCGGCATTTCTTCGCCAAAAAGGCAGTGCCAGCCCTGCATTCACATGTAGAAGAGATGGTGGGCCAGTCTTTGAGCATGTCGGTCTCTGCCAAAGTGCACGGCAGCGCCGACGTGTGGAGCTGTAACTACGGTCAGGGACAGTACATGTCATTTACGGCCCACTGGGTGAACGTGGTGCCGGCACAGCCGCACCAGCAACTTGGACAGGTCACGCCGCTTTTGCCTCCACGTTTGCACGTCCTTGGTCCAGCAAAGATGTCCGCCTCTACCACCTCTTCTTCCGCCGTGTCCTCAGCCGCCACCCCCGTGCCAAGTCCCATTACCCGACCGGCATATCACATGTGCAGGGCGCAACGGTGTCACGCTGTGCTGCACCTGGTATGCCTTGGCGAACGTAGTCACACAGGGGAGGAACTTCTGAGTGTAATGAACAGAGAAATCGACAGATGGCTGTCTCCGCGCAAACTGAAAATCGGAACCATGTTGACCGACAACGGAAAGAACATGGTGTCTGCTCTGCGTCAAGGAAGGTTGTGCCATGCGCCATGCATGGCTCACGTGTTCAATCTGGTTGTCAAGCGGTTCCTAAAATCCACCATCCCACTGCAAGACATCCTTAAAATGTCACGTAAACTTTGCATGCATTTCAGCCATTCCTACACCGCAAAGCACACCCTCCTTGAGCTGCAGCGGCAGAACGGAATTCCACAGCATCGCCTGATCTGCGACGTTGCAACAAGGTGGAATTCAACCCTACATATGTTAGACCGCCTTTACGAACAGCGAAAGGCCATCACCGATTTCCTGATGTTACAAGCGGATAAAGGTACTCCCCTGTGTAACTTAGATGTCAGCCATTGGCAGCTCATGCGTGACACCTGCCGCTTGCTCAGGCCCTTTGAGGAGGCCACGCTATTCGTGAGTCGGCAGGACTATGGGATGAACGACGTCATTCCTCTGTTGCACGTCCTGGAACAAATGCTGTTAACAATGGCTGGTCAGGGTGCGGTAGACGTGGCGCACAGATCTCAACGCCACATGACCCCTGTGGGGGCAGGACAGGAAGAAGAGGAGGAGGAGAGGAGGACATTGGTGCTCAGGAATTATTGAGTGAAATGGGTGGTTTTTCCACTCAGCGGACAGGAGTGGAGGAGCAGGAGCATCTGGTAGAGGAGGAGGAGGAGACAGAGGACCCAGACGCACCGTGGCAGTATGCTGTGGAGATGGAGGCAGGGAGTCCCTCGCATTCCTTGGCACAAATGGCCCATAGCATGCTCGGTTGCTTGCGTAGCGACAGCCGAATAATAACCATCAGACAGAGGGATGACTTTTGGCTGTCCACCTTGTTGGACCCTCGCTACCGTTCAAAAATGGTGGCCTTTTTCACACCTGCTGAGAGGGAGGCCAAAATAAAGTACTATAAAAACCACCTATGTAGTCAGTTGGTCTCTGCCTTTCTGCGCCAACGTCCATCCTCAGACACTGTGGGCCCTGTGCGCTCGCGTTCCGCTGCCATGGCAGCAGGGGAGGGGTGGGGTGGTAGGAGCAGTGGCAGCTCCACCAGCAGCGGCTGCCTCAGTCTGCAGTCGATGATGAGTAGCTTTCTTCACCAGCGCAGTGAGGAAACTACTAACCAGCCGCAGCAGCAGCAGCATCAGGTGGACCTGGAGCAGGACCTCAAACAACAGGCTCGGGCCTACTTGGACAGCACCCTGCCAACCGAGGTAGACAATCCCCTTGACTACTGGGCAACGAAACTTGACCTTTGGCCCCAACTAGCTGAATTTGCCCTTGAAAGGCTGTCATGCCCGGCCAGTAGCGTGGCATCGGAGCGCGTGTTTAGTGCGGCAGGAGGTATTGTAACTCCGCGGAGGACACGACTGTCCACCCAAAGTGTGGAGAGACTCACGTTTGTGAAAATGAATCAGGCGTGGATTAGTCTGGATTTCAAACCACCAGTTCCTGACACAACTGACTAAATCCGCCATGAATCATGCCCCAAACATGTTATTATTTTTTTAACATAGGCCTCTGTATGGCCTTCAATTTAAGCTGCTTACGCTTCGCCACTCTGCCATGGGCCCCTGTACCGCCTCCTCTTGCTGCTGCCAGGTCCAGAGTGTGTCATGGGTCCCTGTACGGCCTCCCATTGCTGCTGACTTCATCGCCAGACTCTGCCATGTGCCACTTTCAGGTCTCCTTACACTGTTGGTGGGTTTCCATTTTGTGATAGGGTGCTGTATGGCCTTCCATTGCTGCTGCCTCCACCACCACCCTGCGCCATGTGCCTCTGTCGTCTGCTCACGCTGCTGACGGCTTCCGCTTTTTAACCGAGGCCTGTGTTTGGCTTCCGAATACTGCTGCATCCACCGCCACCCTGCGCCATGTGCCTCTGTCGTCTGCTCACGCTGCTGACGGCTTCCGCTTTTTAACCGAGGCCTGTGTTTGGCTTCCGAATACTGCTGATCCACCGCCACCCTGCGCCATGTGCCTCTGTCCTGCTCACGCTGCTGCCAGGTCCATACTGATTCAAGGCCCCCTGTACCGGCTCCTCATGAACGTGGTTCAGCGGGGTTTGCATCACTTAACGGCAAATCGTTGACAAACGCTGGGACGTTCAGTGTTGTGCGCATTAAGCCAGACACCAAAGGGCAGCACAGACCTGTTATTACTCGCTCAAGCATGGCTGAACAAAACCAGTCTCTACCACAAATTGGACCCAGACCTGCCCAGGGTCTCGTAAGTAGATTGCACGGAGGAGTAGAGTTCGTTATTGGAATTAACTGTGAGGGACTTTTAAACCTAGGCCTGTGTATGGCCTTCAATTGAAGCTGCTTCTGCTCCGCCACTCTGCTGCTCTTGATAGTGACGACTATCTCCGCCACCTGCCATTGGACTGCAGAGTGATCGAAGTCGTCTCCCCACAGCTGCAGCAGCAGCTGGGGAGACAACTTTTTAACGCTAGGCCTAACATAGGCCTCTGTATGGCCTTCAATTTTAGCTGCTTACGCTCCGCCACTCTGCCATGGGCCCCTGTACCGCCTCCTCATGCTGCTGCCAGGCCCGTAATCTGCCATGGGCCCCTGTACCGCCTCCTCATGCTGCTGCCAGGTCCAGAGTGTGTCATGGGTCCCTGTACGGCCTGTACGGCCTCCCATTGCTGCTGTCTCCATCGCCACACTCTGCCATGTGCCACTTTCAGGTCTCCTCACACTGCTGGTGGGTTCCATTTTGTCATAGGGTGCTGTATGGCCTCCCATTGCTGCTGCCTCCACCGCCACCCTGCGCCATGTGCCTGTCGTCTGCTCACGCTGCTGACGGCTTCCGCTTTTTAACCGAGGCCTGTGTTTGGCTTCCGAATACTGCTGCATCCACCGCCACCCTGCGCCATGTGCCTCTGTCGTCTGCTCACGCTGCTGACAGCTTCCGCTTTTTAACCTAGTCCTGTGTATGTCTTCCGAATACTGCTGCCTCCACCGCCACCCTGCGCCATGTGCCACTTTCAGGTCTCCTTACACTGTTGGTGGGTTCCATTTTGTGATAGGGTGCTGTATGGCCTTCCATTGCTGCTGCCTCCACCGCCACCCTGCGCCATGTGCCTCTGTCGTCTGCTCACGCTGCTGACGGCTTCCGCTTTTTAACCGAGGCCTGTGTTTGGCTTCCGAATACTGCTGCATCCACCGCCACCCTGCGCCATGTGTCTCTGTCGTCTGCTCACGCTGCTGACGGCTTCCGCTTTTTAACCTAGGCCTGTGTTTGGCTTCCGAATACTGCTGCCTCCACCGCCACCCTGCGCCATGTGCCTCTGTTGTCTGCTCACGCTGCTGACGGCTTCCGCTTTTTAACCGAGGCCTGTGTTTGGCTTCCGAATACTGCTGCATCCACCTCCCGCCCACTGCTGCTGCCAGGCCCGTAATCTGTCATGGGCCCCTGTACCGCCTCCTCATGCTGCTGCCAGGTCCAGAGTGTGTCATGGGTCCCTGTACGGCCTCCCATTGCTGCTGTCTCCATCGCCACACTCTGCCATGTGCCACTTTCAGGTCTCCTCACACTGCTGGTGGGTTCCATTTTGTCATAGGGTGCTGTATGGCCTCCCATTGCTGCTGCCTCCACCGCCACACTGTGGCTCCACACTCTGGTTTTGGCCCCGTGACTGCCCAAATGAGTGAAGTGTGCGGTGATTCTAAGATCGACGGCACTCATCTGCATGTCATACTGACTGACAGTATTAGTTCTCTTCCCCAGCAGACTCCAAGGGCATTTAAATTAAAGGTACAGTGTTCTGCACTAATATAAAGGCTCTCTGAAGCCTAGAAACACCCTTTTTATAAGTTAAATTCGCAGCGAATATATTCGCCTCAAATCGAATTTATTCCGCGAATTTGGCGAATCAGCCGAATCGAATTTTTGAATAATTCGCTCATCTCTAGTTATAATCTTGCATTTGGTTCTTCATCCATGTAATAAAAATGGCATAGTGAAGTTTTTGTCTGTTTTCTTGTTTTATGGATGGGGACTTCACACAGCTCACCATACATCCAAAACCACACAATCTCCTCTCCTAATTACTGTTTATGAACTTGTTCAAACGAATGGCCAGGGGGCAGTCAAAGCAAGCAAGTGAACCACAGATTTACCACCCCCCACTGCTCACTTATACAAGGATATGCAGCATCTCAGGGAACATCTTGTGGTCATGATACTTTGCGTGGCAAAAATTAAACCCATTGTTGCATCACTGTGCAGTACCACTGATGAACGTGACCCATTCAAGGAAATGGGGCTGCGATGCAAATACCCTACAACTGCGTGCAATCAAGGTGGTTGTGGTGTGGTGGTTTAGCCTTTTCAGAGTTAAAATAGGATAGAAGGAGGTGACATATTGCCTCCTGGTCATTTGTTAACAGCCCTCTGAAATGTGATCAGCTACAGATCGCTTTTTAGAATGATGGCAAAGGCCTATCAGGTCATTACAGTAGTACCTTTGAACCTTTGGCAGTTGCCCTCGGTTAACTCTTCTTTCAGACCTAGAAACTTTGCAATGTCATCTAGTCAGTTCTAATACTATGAGCTTCTGTCAACACTGGCTCCCCCTTCCTACAAACTGCCCTCCTGTAGCCCACCATGATGCACCCATTTTTCTACCATGATCAATCAACAACTAGATGTGGCAGCGTCCTGAGTCCTCCTCTTATTCTTGTAATGTACACTGCAGAGTAAAGACACATCTGGATTATAATTCTCTCATTATTCCTACCTTGGAAATCTTCTACTGCAAGAGGAAGCCCAAGGCTGTACTGCTGATTAAATTGTTTTGCTACGGAGATATTAAACACTTGTTGGCATTCACTTCATCTGAAACACACAGAAATCAATGTGCTGATAATGAGATACCACTACATGAATAGATACATTTATAAGTAGCAAATATACCTAAATGAACTTAAGCCCTAGCCTTAAAGTGGTTGAAAACCCTTACATATACCCAGTGGGGTGACTAGCTTCCGGTGATACACAGAGATGAAACAAATCCTCCTACATAAGTTGTACCTGTTTATTTACTGCCATTTGTCCTGTAGATCCTTGTAAAACTCAGAGATGAAAAGGATTTTTCACAGACTCACAAGCAGGGGGGTGGGGAACTGCTCTGATTGGAGGGAAGGGACACACCCCCTTCACACTGCACACAGGACAGAGCTCAGGCTGTCAATCAGCTGACGATCCCTCCCCCATCACCTTTTAGCTCTTGATGTCAGGAAAACTTGTCAGAAGTGACTCATGCTGATCACTAATGATCTACTAACTGCTAAAACCAATGGCCACTACTCCATACTCTTACTACTTGACCTCTCTGCAGCTTTTGATACTGTTGACCATCCCCTCCTCAAAAAACTCCAGTCTCTTGGCCTCCGAGACTCTGCTCTCTCCTGGTTCTCCTCCTACGTATCGCAGCGCTCCTTCAGCGTTACCTATAACTCTGTCTCCTCCTCTCCACTTCCTCTTTCTGTAGGGGTCCCTCAAGGTTCTGTCTTTGGACCCCTACTCTTCTCCATCTACACCTCCTCCTTTGGTCACTTGATAAACTCCCATGGCTTTAAGTACCATCTCTATGCTGATGACACACAAATCTATCTTTCTACCCCTCAACTCACCCCTTCAGTCTCCTCTCACATTACTAACCTACTAAGTGACATATGGGCATGGATGTCACTCCACTTCCTCAAACTCAATCTTTCCAAAACTGAGCTCTTAGTATTCCCTCCAGCCCGTGCCCCCTCCCCTGACTTCTCCATCAAGACCAATAATACAACCATCAGTTCCTCCCCTCATGCCAGGGTACTATGTGTAATCCTAGACTCCCATCTGTCCTCCCAGTCCCAAATCCAATCACTGTCCAAATCTTGTAGACTTCACCTCCGCAACATCTCCAAGATAGGCCCGTTCCTAACCTCGGAAACCACTAAGCAACTTATTCACTCCCTTGTTATCTCTCGCCTTGACTATTGTAACTCCCTCCTCATTGGCCTACCTCATCGCAGGCTTTCCCCTCTTCAGTCTATCATAAATGCTGCTGCCAGACTCATCCACCTTACTAACTTTTCCGTATCTGCCACTCCTCTCTGCCAATCCCTCCACTGGCTTCTCATTGCCCAACAGATAAAATTCAAAACATTAACAATAACATATAAAGCCATTTATAACTCTGCCCCAAATTACATCACCGATCTTGTCACCAATTCTTGTCACCCAAACCGTACTCTCCACTCCTCGCACAACCTCCTGTTCTCTAGCTCCCTTGTCTCCTCCTCCCATGCTCCTCTCCAGGATTTCTCCAGAGCTTCCCCCATCCTCTGGAACGCTCTACCCCAATTTATCAAACTATCGCCTACTCTGCTCACTTTTAGACAATCTCTGAAAACCTATCTCTTCAGGGAAGCCTATCCTGCCCCCAGCTAATAATGGAATCTTCTACTCTTCCAACCGGTCCATCCCCCACAGTTACTACCTTTTGTACCACTAACTCCTCCCTCCTAGATTGTAAGCTCCAAGGAGCAGGACCCTCCTAACTCTCTTATATTGAACTGTATTGTTGCTGTATTGTCTCCCGTTATATTGTAAAGTGCTAACAAACTGTTGGCGCTATATAAATAATATAATAATAGCAGGTGAACTAGACAGCAGAGAGAAATGATACCCAGTGCTTTGGAGAGAGGTAAGTAAGCTCTATAGAAACATGTGCTGTGTTCAGATTTCATGTCTGAGGTTTACAAACACTTTTAAGTGGAGTTCCACCCAAAAGTGGAAGCTCCACTTGTTTGCCTCCTTCCCCCCTCAACTGCCATATTTGGCACCTTTTTTGGGGAGGGGAGCGAGTACGTGGTTTTTGACAGGTACCCGGTCCCACTTCTAGCCCAGTTCGCTGTGGCGAAGTGAACCGGAAGTTTGGCCCCCTCCTTCCTCTCGGAGTCTCCTGGGACCTTTCACAGGTCCCAGAAGACTGCCAAACCAACCAGGAGGTGCAGCACGACTCGAGCATACGCAGTGGGCATCCGGCTGTGAAGCCGCAAGCTGTCACAGCCTGGTGTCCACAGTTGAGATGCCGTGGAGGAGAGAAGGAGAGAAAGGATGGCGTGAGTGAGAATATCGCTGGACTCCGGGACAGGTAAGTGTGTGTTTATTAAAAGTCAGCAGCTACAGTTTTTGTAGCTGCTGACTTTTAATAAACACAAAAACGGCTGGAACTCTACTTTAAAGTGACTATGTCACCAAAGTGGAAGGCCTAGTTAAAGCTCTGCCTGTGGAAGAAAATGTAACTACTTACCTCTCCTAATGGCCACACTGCTGAATGCTGATGAGAAATCCTTGGGTGAAGTTTTTCAGAAACTGATAGTTCTGAGAATGTCGATCTTCTGCTGCACTCAGTGGTACCTTCTGTAGACCCTTACAACACTACAGGACACAGTCGCTTGAAATCCCCTTTTCAGCCCTTTATACATGCATCTTAATGTGCATTAGGTCCAAAAAATGTTGTATCATTTGACATTTCTGGGTATTTATTTGGCTTCATATATCAAAGGCATAGCCTGACATAGAACTTGACAATCTGTAGCCTTCCAGAAAATGGGGAACTACAAATCTCAAGATGTCTTAGAAATAGTGGCGTGCAGTGGGTGTTGGAATCTGTAGTCCTTAGTAGGGCAGCAGAGTATTCATACTAATTTAAAAAAATTTGGTAACCTTATGAATAATGCTGAGACATAAGAAATGCTGTAAATATTTCCTTGAAGGCCCAAAAAGCAAACTTCTAGAGTCACAGGTTAAGACTGAACTCTTCACAAATGGCTAAATACCCAGATCAAATACATATATGAAAGCTGTTTTGAACGCCAAAAAGATTTGTATTTCATGTCCCTCCAGTTCCCGGATTTACACACCACCTCTATCACACAGCCCAGTCTTGTCTGGCAGGAATGAAGACCTAATCTTGTCTGCTGCAGTTTCCCTTTCACTTACAAGTATCCTCTGCACTCCCACCCTGTGCATGGACAGGTAAATAGAAAACAGCACACTGATGAGCTGATTTTTCTGTCACCCTGCTATCTGCTCCTACCAGTATGCTGCTTGTGATGCAACACACCTGATTGGCCTATTGTGCTGCTCCCCCTCTCCCTTCTCACATTCTGCTGTACATTGGCTGCAAGAAGCTGATAAATCAGGCACTTACGTTGCTTGCATTTGAAAAAATAGAATGATTTCAAAGTTGTAATAATTTGAGTCTTATGTCTGTATGGAGTTTATTTTTAACGATGACTACAAAACAATGGTTTGTAAAGGAATAGGCCATAACTTTAGCATGCTGGTGATCGTCTACAAGGGAGTTGAGCATGACAGTGACAGACTAGATACATTATTTATCCTTAACTAATATTACAATGGATTGTTCACAGTGAAGCATGAATTATTGAAATGTTTATTGTAGAGGCACCAGTAATTACCTCTGCAGCTTCCCTTTAAAGCTAGTTGGATATATAAACTGCAGCTTGGCTCGAAGCTAAGTTGGCAGTCACTGAGGACTGTACAGGGTTTGTATGGGGACTTATGCTGTGTTTGTCTTTATGTCTGTGGAATATATTTACTATCAAAGAATAGAGTTAAGGACATACAGTCAGGTCCATAAATATTGGGACATCGACACAATTCTAACATTTTTGGCTTTATACACCACCACAATGGATTTGAAATGAAACAAACAAGATGTGCTTTAACTGCAGACTGTCAGCTTTAATTTGTGGGTA